CCATTTGATTATCAAAATCTTCACCACCTAAATGTGTATTACCAGCTACTGATATAACTTCGAAGATGTTTTCTTCAATTGTTAAAACTGATACATTAAAAGTACCACCACCCAAATCAAAAACTAATATATTTCGTTCCGCAGATATTCTTTTATCTAAACCATAAGCAACAGCAGCAGCTGTTGGCTCATTAATAATACGTAATATATTAAAACCAGCAATAACACCAGCATCTTTTGTTGCTTGACGTTGTGAATCATTGAAAGTAGCCGGAACGGTAATAACAGCTTCGGTAACTTTTTTACCAAGATAAATCTCGGCTATTTTTTTCATTTTTGTTAATATCATTGCCGAGATTTCTTCAGGTGTAAATAATTTTGTTTCGTTTTTATATTCAACTAGAATCTTTAGTTTACCAGCATCATTTACTATTATAAATGGCCAATGTTTCATATCAGCTTGTACAGTTGGATCATGGAATTTACGACCAATAAGTCGTTTAGCATGAAAGATAGTATTATTTGAATTAATAGATGCTTGATTTTTAGCTGCATTACCAATTAAACGTTCATCATTGGTGAATGCAACATAAGATGGTGTTGTTCGATTTCCTTGTTCATTAGGAATGATTTCAACTTTACCATGCTGAAATACAGCAACGCATGAGTATGCTGTACCCAAATCAATACCTATTGCTGTTCTAGCCATTAGAAATTGTTCTAATTTTTGAATATGAGACTTAGTGACTTTCTTCGATATAAACTATTGACTGGTTCAATAATATGAAGAAAAGATTATTTCAAAATGAAAATCAACTAACTTTGTTTTGTTATTAAAGAACGAGGATTGTCTTTTGTTTTGTCGACTGAAAAATGAAATACATACTGTGCATTTTTATACACACATGAATTGAAAATGGGCGTATGGGAAAAAGTGACTCAAAAAAAATACACGTCAGGATGAGAAAAAAACAAAGAAAGTAAAGAATAAAATAAAAAAACAGTAAGAGAAAAAAATAATCTATGAATTGGACAAAGAAAAAGTCTTTCATTTCGTTGTGAATATTTAAAGATGTCGTTATACCAATATATTCGAAGATTATTTTCTAAAGATCATATTATTTCTGTATTACCGTACAACAGGGTGTTGGTACAGCTGAGTCAGAAACACATTCACATTCACTACCTAGAACATATTCTTGAAAAACGTAGAAGATCATTTCAGAAGACTATGGTAAGTTTCAAAAGGTCAAAAAAGTTAGTCAAAAGTGGGTAAACTCGAAATTTCAAAATCACATCACATCAGTCCATATTTTACCAATCAACTAGAATTCATGCTTTATAAGGTATAATCATAGCACCCCGTTAATCTCAGTTCTAATTTTCTGCTATTGTGAACTTATGAATTTTCATACTATATGAATTAGTAGACACTGCAAAGGTTGGATCTGTGGAACAATAGCATTTCGTCGGCTGTGCAAGAACGATTGAAAAATCAGGTCACTCAAATCAAATGTTGATTGATAATGAAATAAATACCTGTTTGGATGTTAAATTCGTTTTATCTACATATTCGATATTGAGTTACCAGAAGGGTCTTGGAGATATAACCAAATAATAATTTGAATATTATTTCCCTCGTCTAACGAGGGAACATAATCGAATGCTCACCCTGAGAACAAGTTTAAAATCATTCTATTCTGTAGAGACCTTGATGCATATCTCTAATATCAATGTCTTAGCTGCTTCTCTTAAGTTTGAAAAAAATGAGAGAATCGAATTTATTGATTTTACATCCTTTCCTACTATTATATGTGCACCATTTTTTCACTTGTATAAGAATTGCAAGAATAATCTATTCTTTCATGAGAGAAAGTGTGGGTGTGGATGCAGGTATGAGGTGCGAGTGCGGGAGCCTCTTAATCTTTACTACACCCACACCCTAGGAAAGTTTCATGATGTGAACTAAATTCTATCCAATTTCATAAAAAAATCCTTTGAAAATGACAATATTTTTTAATTCCCTTTACCCCTACGAAAATTTTTCACAAAAATTTGTCTTTTGTTATTTCCAAAGGATTCTTTATGGGAATACATAGAAGGTTGTATGCTGATTTCTATTCGATAGAATTTATTTCATTTGATGCAATTTTTCTATTAATTTCAAAATGAACTCGAGGATATTTTCAGTGACAAATTGGTCACTTTTGAGTATCTTTCAATAAGTCTCCCAATCATATTCTAGGACATTCCACGCTAATTCTTGCATAACTTTGTAGTATTCAGTGTGTACCTTAAAATTACACCAACACGAGGGTGTGGGTGTGAATCTCACCTTCTGTTCACCCACACTCACCCACCCACATCTAAACCCTCCTTTCTTTCTAAAAACAACATCATTCAACGAATTACGCCCATTTATTCTATATGACGTTACTCACTATGGCGGAAATTTCTTCATTGTGTGTTTGGATTTTTTTAAACACTTATTTTAGTGAAAAGTAGAAAGAAAATGAAAATATGTTTGTAAAGATTCTATATTCAACTAAACATGTTTTAAACTATAGAATGTGAATGATAAGAAACTTAATGATTAAGAAGTCCCACTTCCACTTAGATATTCCTAATAGTAACAAAAATAGTATCGTCATTTGTAAGATGGTGGACACACAAAACTTGAGCAAACTATTTTTCTTAATGGTTTTCATATAGTTAGATGAAGCTGATAAACCTAGTAAGAAAAATTACGTTTAAAAATTTCTTGGTCTTTCATGTGCACAAAAAACAATTTAAAATACTCTAGTTTAGTGTCTGATATGGGTCAAATTTTTGTAACCCAATCCGAATCACCTATTTTTTGGTCCGATCTGAGCTAACCTGCGCACAGCCAGACTCGACTCGATCTGAGGTCAGCTACTTTTTTTATGATCCGATCCAATTCGAGCACAGCCATACCTGATTCTTGAGCGTGTGGGTGTGAGTGCTGCTGAATAGAACACGCACGTCAACACCCATACTTCGCTTCCCACACCCACATTCACACACACACTCCACACCTACACCCACACCCCACTCCCTACGTCCGCACTCAGCATCCACACTCACATCTAGACTCACTCATGCATTTTGCAACTGCGTGACTTACTTATGATTGAAAATGTTTTGCGTTTTGTCACATGATAAGAAAAATTGCGATTTTTTTTCTCATAACCAAATGATGGGCGAGAGGACAACAATGTTTATATCACAAATGAATGCTTATCTGTTACAGTATATTAGTATTCGAAGATGGAGGGCAGAAAGAAAGAGTGAAGAAGAGAAACATTTTTATCGTTCACAAACATCTTCGCCTTGCATATTCATTTTATCAAATTTCAATTTACGAGACACGTTGATGGGTGGCGATATAACTGGAGAACTGAGTTTTTTCAGCCATACAACCGATGGCCTCCCTCCCTGGGTCGATGCGAGTTACATGACGAGTTGGCCACGCTCGAATTATGCATACACACCTACTCGCATTATCATTCATGATGTAAGGGGCAAAGAAAATACTTTCGATCTTGATACTCATGCCTTTGAAGTACACAAATATGATGGTCACATACAGGATGAATTCGTCAATGATAGTAAGACACAGCAAGCTTACTATGAAGAACTTGCTGCATTTCTCAAAAAATGTCTCGGTGCCTCTCGAGTGGTTGTCTTCAATCATATGTTTCGGTATCGAGGTCCATCATGTCCGATCGATCAATACGATGCGAATCATAAGCATCCTGTTGTTTTTCCACACGTAGATTATGATGGATCTGCTGTTCCCCTGAAAGTGAAAGAAGTGCTTGAAGAAGAAGAAGCAGAAAAATTGATGCAGAATCGATTTCAACTGATTAATATCTGAAGACCGATTGGACCCAATCCCATCACAAAGAATCCTCTCACTCTATGTGACTATCGTTCATTAGATGTTGAGAAGGATATTCATCTCTCAGGAGTTCAAGGATCCATCGCTACTCTTTCGCTCTATGTAGTCTCGCACAATGTTGAAGATGCTCAAAAATGGTACTATTTGAGTGATATGCGATCAGATGAAATGTTTGTCTTCAAAATGTTCGATAGTGACCCAGATGTTGCCCAATTTTGTCCTCATACAGGATTTATCAACGATCAAGTACCCGCAACTGATGTCCAACAGATTAGCATTGAAGTACGCTGTCTTGTTTTTTATGATTAATACAAAATAAAATAAATTATTTCTGCATTCCGAGTGCTTATACAAAAACTAGATTGGTAGAAATCGAAAGTTCTCTTCTCAAATTATCTTCAATCATGAGTCATTATTTCAGAGTAGTAATTAATCGAATAGCTTCTGATTGCTTGTCTTTCAGATCGATATTGATGACTTGTTAGGTGATGTTATATTTATACGGTCTCTGTTCTTCTTCTTTTCTCTCTCTATATGGCACCATCACACATACGTGTGTTCCATCTGTATTTTCTTTTGTTCTGTTCATGTGTGATCACTCTCTCTCTCTTTCTAGTATACCCTGATGAGTTCTTCTCATTTTAAAGAGCTCTCGTAAGTCCTGCTTCCTTTTGTATGTGTGCATATAAACACCTGCTGATTGAAACAATAAAATCAGTGTGTGTGTAAACTTGAGGTGTATGCACTTTAAGCATTTTAAGTCAAACAGATGCATTTTTGCTAGGATACATCTATGATAAAAGACCACAAAATACGCCGTTTTCGGCAATAATGTGTTCAAAAAACGTTTAAATACTTTGGGAACGGAACAATATTTTTTTCAGAATATTTGCATCGAAATTCTTAAAACGTTTGTTTCTATAACAAATTTCAAAGTCGGAAAAGCGTAACAACTTGAGTCATTATATATGTGGACTGGCTCATCGAGCAGTACAACTGAACTTCTGATTGTTGTATTCAGTATATTTTACGCTATCACTTTCTATCAAAGAGAAAAGGCGGATTCGGGAATCCTTTGCATCATTATCGTATCCTCCCTATTTCCCTGATATTACCATATCCGGGATACGATGAGGATGTAGAGGACTCATTTTTTCTCTTCTTGACTTGACCTCTCACAAATTCAATCAAAACAAAGTCCCATCTTCACTTTTCTCGAAAATATAGGTTTGTAACTGAAGTTGAAGATTATAGAAAAACAAAACGTTTATTAATACATCTGTTGACAAAAAGATAATGTAAACAGAATAGTGCAGAGTGAAGAATCATTTCTCGCTTTCCTTGTAAAGACTGTGTCGAATAGAATACAAGGGAAATCAATACTCAATGCTTAAATTCTTTCTTTTTATTTCTATCAATATAACAACGTGGCGTAAATTTTGATTAAATTGTTTTTCTTTTTTGTTTCTTCTTGTTAGGTACGACTATGTGTTCGAAAGCATTTTTCATAGATATATATCATTTCTCATTGACTGCTTTCATCGTCCAAAATACACATAAGCCAATAGAGGTAGAATGCAAGTTGAGAGCAACATTAAATAAAGGTTCTAATAGATATTTACGAGAACGTAATGGAATCATTATTTATAGTAGTATTAAAAAAAGCACGTTAGAAGAGAATGTGCAAGAAAATGTTTCTTTCATTGTTATTTCGATAATTCGAAAACACTCGCACACTTTTTGATAAATATTAGTGTAAAGTAATATTCCATCCACAAAAAAAAATAATGTCAATGTCGTTTGTGTTTTGCACATTTTTACTAGTTGTAACAGTAACTGAGAATCTAGTATTACTAACTTCTGCATCAATAATCTATGAAAGTCAAGCTCGTTTCACTATCTTATCAGCACAGCTCATTCGCCTTGAATGGGCATCAACAAAAGAATTTGTTGATGAAAAAACATGGCTTGTTCAATCACGTCAAATTCAATCAATACCACCATCATTTATTGTCACAAGAAATGATACTCATCTATGTATTGATACTAATTTTGTTACTTTAGAATATCTTCGAAATACTACAACAACATTTAGTCAACATAATATACGTATCACAATTCGAGTCAATGTCGTCAAAGAAGAAACAGTAGTCTGGAATGCTATACCAGGAGAAGAATATGATGGCAATCTTTTTGGTACATTACGAACATTAGATGGAAGTCGAGATTCCAAACTAGAATTGGATTGTCGAAATCAACCACGTGATGATTTACATTGTACTTATGGTGTTATTTCTCGTCGTGGTTATGTTCTTATTGATGATACACATCGACCTCAATTTGATAATGATTTTAGATGGCCATGGATTATTAATAAACAATATTCACCACCTGATCCTAGTCATTGTCAAATAGTATCAATAGAAGAACGTCGAAATTGTGGTTTAACAAATAATAATATAAATCAATATGAATGTGAACTTCGTGGATGTTGTTTTATATTTCCATCCTCATGTTTTTATTCATTACAATCTCAACAAGATTTATATTTATTTGGTCATGGTCATGCTTATTCTCAAGCTTTATTTGAATTTACTCGTCTTACTGGTTCAATTCCACTTCCACCACGTTATATATTTGGTATTTTCTTTAGTCGATATTGGGCTTATGCTGAATATGAAGAAAGACAAATTATAACTGAATATATTCAACATGATATTCCATTAGATGTTCTTGTTATTGATATGGATTGGCATAAAACATTTTATAAATTACTTTCAAATGGTACACAAGATCAAGCCGATCAAGAAATTGGATGGACTGGATATACATTTGATAAACATTTATTTCCAAATCCAGTGAAGTTTTTCCAATGGTGTAAACAATTAGGTCTTAAAAATGCTCTCAATCTTCATCCAGCTGCAGGTGATGAAATTTTTCTTTTTCTTTTTCTTTTTGTTTTCAATCAAGTTACATTTATTCTGATTAAGGTATTCAACCATGGGAAGAAAAATATACAGCAATGGCTTATGCTATGGGTATTGATCCTTCAACTGCTCACTATGTTCCATTTAATGTTACTGATAAACACTATAGTTCATCATTATCTGATATTGTTCTTAATCCACTTCAACAAGCTGGTGTTGATTTATGGTGGTTAGATTGGCAACAAGGTGAAAAAGGTTGGATGAATAATATATCATACACTAACCCTACTTTTTGGTTTAATCATATTTTCTTTACTGATCCTTATTATCAAGATAGACGACCAATAATTCTTCATCGATGGGGTGGACTTGGTAATCATCGTTATCAAGTTGGCTTTTCAGGTGATGTTATACCATCATGGGATACACTTTCATTTCAACCACGTTTTACAGCAACAGCTGCAAATGTTGGTTATGGATATTGGAGTCATGATCTTGGTTGACATACTGAAGAACCGGATCCTGAATTATATGTTCGATGGGTTCAATGGGGTACATTTTCACCTGTTTCGAACACATTGTACGAAAAATGCAAATAATGATCGACGACTTTGGACATTTCCTTGGATTTATCAAAATAATTTAGCTCGATTTACTCGCCTTTGTCAAGCACTTATACCTTATCTTTATACAGCTGCAAGATATACTTATGATTCTGGTTTATCAATTGTTTTACCTCTTTATTATTATTATCCTGAACATAATGAAGCTTATTCATATTCAAATCAATATTATTTTGGTCAAAATATATTTGTTTCACCTATTACTCAACCAGTAAATATAACTACTGGTCTTGTTCATAATTGGCCTATTTGGTTTCCACCTGATTATCAATGGGTTAATTTCTTTACTAGTGATCTTTCTTCAACTTCTACAATGAAATCTTTTACTATTGATGAAATGCCTGTTTATGCTCAAGTTGGTTCAATTATTCCACTTTTACCTGAACCAAATTCATATCGAGAAAGAATTGGTCGAGCTCAACAAATTCCTCAATCTCTTCTTTTATATACACTTATTGGTGGATCTTCAAAAGGAAGTGGATATGTTTATGATGATGATGGTTCAACAATTGCATATCAAGATTCTTCTCATTTAGCTAGTGCTATCACTCGTTTTTATTATACTGTATCAGTAAATACATTACAATTTAGTAAGTTATATCTCTTTATATCATATATTAGAATAATTTATAATAAAACAAAAACAATATTTTAATTATTTTATTAGCTATTTTTCCAGCATCAGGATCTTTTTCTACATTTCCAACATCTCGTACATATGAAATTCAACTTCGAGGTATTTTTCCAGCTACAAATGTTCTTATCAATAATGTTAATATTTCTTTTGAACCATTTAATGAATTAATCAATAGTCAAAATAGTATAACAAATAGTTATACATATGATGGATCAACTCTTTCCATTATTATTTATATTCGACAAGCCGTATCAACATTAGAATCAGTTGAAATAGAAGTTGAATTATCAGAAAGTATTACTAATCCACTTCTTGTTCGAACACCAATATCATTTATTAGTCTTCTTAATCGATGTCAATCAGCTAAAGCTCGTCTTGATTATGAATGAGGTATAAGAACAGTCTATGTGGATGATTATCCATTATTATTAGATGCTGCTGCAACTGGTCTTCGTATTACTCATAGACCATCAACTGCTAAAAGGGAATTAAAAGCATTTTATAATAAACGTATACCAGGTGCATGTAATGAATTAGCAACAAAAATTGATAATATTGATCCAAATATTCGAAATATTTTATTAGCTCAACTACAATGCAATTTATTTACTAAGAAGAAATTAAATGAAATATGGAATTTAAAGAAATCTTCTAGAAATTGATTAATTTTTTCTATATCAATAGTATTATTAGTATAAACTGATTCTATTATTATACATCTAGTATTTTGTGTGAATTTGAACAAGTTTAGAAGTAGAAGATTTGAAAATAAGTTGAAAAGAATAAATGTGTCTATTTAGTAGAAGAATATAATACAATGAACAGAAAAAAGAGGGTCAGAAGCAACCACAAATATTGCAGGTATTAACTTAATATTTTGTGTACATGTATTATCGACTTGTTTTAAATGGCATCCACTGTTTTTTGAATAACTTTCCAATGTTGATATTGTTCGATTTCGGGTTTTTTACCATCGCTAGAATAATCTAGGACACGTGCAAACAAGTAACATATTCGGTCAAACAATAAAATGATCGATTGTGTTTGTTGAATTTATTTAATTGACTGAACCTAAGAGTGTGGGTGTGGCTGGATGTCCATGCATGTGTGGGTCTCTATTTTATCCGCACCCACACCCTACTCTGTTACAATATTATATAAAGTCAAATATTTTTTTTGTTTGAAAGGAGATGTAAAACTGTAGTGCCTGTGAGAGCCAGTTTTTTTAAAATTAAGCTTTGCTTTTATTATGTATATAAACATTTATATAATAAGAGCGCCATTTTTAGAGAGTTTTCTGAATCATTGAACTTTCGATCCCTTTTTTCCCTTAAAAAGTAAGAGTTTAAAAAAAGGGCTCTTATAGGCACTGCATTCTGACATGCTCTTTCAAACAAAACACAAACCATTAAATCTATAGACTGAAGACCATAGAGAGCTTCTGGAGACAAAGTTGGCTATTGTTTGACCCTTGTTTGGTCAATATCTCCCTGAAACATCATGGTACAGGGCTGAAAATTTTACCATAGCAATCCCACACCAGCCCCAACATGTTCTGAAAATTTTATGCCATTCGAACGTTCCTGACGTGAGATCGATTTTTGAGCGGGGACCTTAATAGAAACCTTTACTGTACGATATTTTTTCAGTTCTGAATATTACTTCTGTGTTTTCATGGTTGTTGAGTCGGTTCTAGAGGAACGGCTAATAGAAGGGCTCGGAAGTACGCTGGAAAATACGTCCTTTTACAGAGATTCAGTCGGATTTGGTGTCCAGCATAATCGAACTGGGTACTTGTAAGATAGTGGCTTCTTTTGTTCGAACTTACACATGTTAACGTTTAGAAATGCTTTAAATTGAGCGAGTCAACATGACGCTCTAATATCAGAATAACTATATTGAGTCGTGGCACGACATTTGCGCGCACGACACTTACGCGCACGACACTTGCGCGCAAAATGATTTTTTCTGCGCTTGACTTTGGTCTGGATTGGATATGCCTACGGGTGTTGCTTAGAAAACAGATGCTGGCAGTGCGTGCGGGTGTGAGGGTTAAGTATTATCGTAATCTCAATTCTGATTATTCATTGAGAAATCCTGGAAGAATTTTTCAGGATCCTTGACTTCAAGGATCTTGTCAGATTTTCTACAAGATCCTGCTGTATTTCTTGATAATTCGTTTTTCCAGGGTTTCCACGGGGTCAAGAAACATGGGCTCCAAACTGTGTAAACTCCAAATTGCGTAAAGTCTAAATTTGGAGCTCATTTTTCTTCTCAGTCCTTCTGCTATGATTCACAGCACCATCTAGAATGCTAATAGAATTTTCTGGGATGCTATTGGGGTTTCCTCGGATGCTAATAGCATCGTTTGAGATGCTAGAGCCATCACCTGTGATGCTGGCAGTGTTCTGTGTGATGCTACTAGCATTCAGTGTGATGCTACTAGCATTCAGTGGGATGCTAAATCATTGTCTGTAATGCTAGTAGCATTCCCTGGAATACCAGTAGTATTCCATAAGATGCTAGAAGCATTCCTTGGGATACTACTAGCATTTCCTAAGATGCTGGTAGCATTCCGTGAGATGTCAATATCATTCTCTGAGATGTTATTAGCATTCCCTATGATGCTAGAAGCATTTCCTGGGATGCCAGAGCCATTGTCGGGGATCCTAGAGGCATCTTCTTGGATGCCAGAGCCATTACCTACGACGTTAGTAGTATTTTCGGTCATGCTAATAGCATCACAGGCATGCTTGCAGCATCCCAGCCAAATCCTCTAGCATCCCAGGTGATGCTCATAGCATTCGATAGAATTGATATAAGCATCTTAGGCAATGTTAGTGGGATTCCAGGAAATGCGTCTGGCATCCAAGATAATGCTACTAGTACTCTAGGTGGTGCAACAAATCATAACAGAAGGATTGAGAAGAAAAGTGAGCTCCAAATTTGGAGTTTACATGCGGAACTCACTTTTCTTGACCTTTACACTGTTAGGCAGGATCCTGGTTAGGATCTATCAAGGTTCTTATCCAGGTATTTTTCTAAATCATGAATGCAGGATCCTACAAGGATTCAAGCTTAATCCTGCTTAGTATCCTCACAGGAATAATCGAGATGATTCTTTCAAGATTTCATGCACTTCGGACGCAATCTGTTCAGAATCCTGATTGGATCCTGCTAGGAATCCTACCAGGATCTTTAAATTCTGTGGCTATACACTTCTTTCAGGATTTACTCGTTTCCTCAGAAAAAAACAGCGAGTCATTGAAGGATCCTGATTGGATTCGTTAAGGATCAGACACAGAAACATCAAAGATTTTCCCTAGGGTGGTGAAGATGTATCAAGGATTGTCTCGAACTACTGATCTCCCATTGCAGTGGCACCCACCTTCCGCCATCATCACACTCAAACCTAAGCGCAGACTCATTCTATGAAAAAAAATCATTTTGCGCGCAAATGTCACGCGCGGAAGAGTCGTGCGCGCAAGTGTCGTGCGCGCAAATTTCGCGTAATCCTATATGAGTATATATATGCACAATGTTTTTTTCTTGTTTTTCGTTTTCTTACATAAGAAGGAACAAAGTAAATATACATAATATAAATGGTAATATATATTCATTTATTATTTTGTTGCTTTTATTAAGAAGAAAACGATAATAAAGCAAGAAGAAAGAAGAGAAAAATCAATAAGAAAAAAAATTCAAATACAGAGGTATGAGTAACGCGAAACCTTTCGAATTAGGTCCTTTTCAAGCGAGTATCGACGTATAGTTGGTTGTAGGAGATGCATAAAGAGAAAAAGACTAAAAATGAAAGAAATCGAAATCGAGTTTTAGAAATAGTTAATGGATATCAGGATTGGAAGAATCTTATGAGAGCTGGAGATAATTTAACTGAGCAGAGAAGAATATCTTTAGGATGAAAGTGAGGATGCAAATTTAATAAAAAATACAAAACACTTTTTAAGAGAAAAGTCAATGCCAATCTATGTGAGAATATCTTGTCGAACTAATTTTGAAAGCTATTTCATATAAGAACAAATTGAATACTTACTAGGACTAGTTTCGAAAGTTTATACAAATTAATAGAATGCAAAAAATTATTTCTTATGTAACCCAAAAAAAGAAATACTTAGTAGAGCTCGTTTTACAGACTGATATGAATCAATAGGGTAAAAAGCCATTTCTTTTTTTTCATATAAAAAATAATTTTTTTTATCCGATTAATTCAGATCAGTCTACAAAACGAGCTCTACTAAGCGTTATATTTTTTTCATATATGAAATAATTTCATCATCCAATGAATTCATATAAGTTTTCGTAACTAGCTCTACTAAGGATTTCTTTTTTACGTATAAGAAATAATATTTGTATCCTATTAATTCATATTAGTTTTCGGGACTAGCCCTCCTACGTGTATTTTTTTCATATAAGAAATAATTTTTTTCATCCGATTAATTCAGATCGGTTCGTAAAACGAGCTCTACTAAGTATCTCCTTTTTTTGGCCATATGAGAAATAATTTTGGCCTCTTATTAATTCGTATAAGTTTTCGAAACTAGTTCTAGTAAGTATTCAATTTGTTCTTATATGAAATAGCTTTCAAAATTAGTTCGACAAGATATTCTCACATAGATTGGCATTGACTTTTCTCTTAAAAAGTGTTTTGTATTTTTTATTAAATTTGCATCCTTACTTTCATCCTAAAGATATTCTTCTCTGCTCAGTTAAATTATCTCCAGCTCTCATAAGATTCTCCCAATCCTGATATCCATTAACTATTTCTAAAACTCGATTTCGATTTCTTTCATTTTTAGTCTTTTTCTCTTTGTGCATCTCCTACAACCAACTATACACCGATACTCGCTTGACAAGAACCCGATTTGAAAGATCCCGCGCTATTCATACCACTGTATTCGATTTTTTTTCCTTATTGATTTTTCTCTTCTTTCTTCTTGTTTTATTGCTGTTATTTTCTGAAGAAAAGCAACAAAATAGTAAATAAAAATATATTACCATTTATATTATGTATATTTACTTTGTTCCTTCTTATATAAGAAAACGAAAACAAGAAAAAAAACATTGTATATATATGTATACTCATATAGTTATTCTGATATTAGAACGTTATGTTAACTTGGTCAATTTAAAAAAACTGTTTGACAGAAAACGAAAATTTTAGTGTCTCCGAAGAAGCTGTTCTTATTAGGAAAGTTTACTCTATCATGTTTTTCCAGTTCTGAATACTACTTCTGTATTTTCATGGTTTTCGAGTCGGTCCAAAAGGAAAGATCAATAGAAGAGACCGGAACTACGCTGGAAAAGACGTCCTTTCACAGGGATCCAGTCACATTTGACGGTCAGTATAATCAAACTGGATACTTGTAAGGCTGTAGCTTCTTTTTATTTGGACTTACGCATGTTGATGTTTTGAAAAGAAAAACTTCTTCTTTTGCGACGTAGCCAGAGCATAGAAAGATGCATCTCTCGATAGTTCATATTTTAATCGTGTATTTTATTGATGCTCTCCATTTTTAATTTTATATTTTCCTAGTACTATTATTCTCTGATAATTAGTAAAGCTTTATTGCTATTAAAACTGTTCAACAAGATGCCAGCCGAGGAAGTGATACGATGGTAACTAATATTTTTCAGATAGACGTTGTAGCGCGGTATTATTTTCTTTCTAATGCGTTAACGGTAGTAACTTGTGGTATATTTTATACAGATTTGTACGAGAAGACATGACAATAGTTGTTTGAGTTGTAAAGAAACTATGATTATATGCTCACGAATTTCATTCTTTCAGTAACTGTTAATGTAAACTATTCTCGATATAAAGAACATATAAACGGACATGTCTCTTATAAGAAAACTAGATAAGCCATTTTGACTACATGATATAGATTTTTTAGTCTTAACTATTTGTATCTATTACAGTGCAGATGTATCGATCGATTCTGGCAGAAAAGATTCGAATATTGATGACGGCCGGACGCAGTACTCAGTAACTATCGATTTATTTGCTGCTATCTGCATTTTTGCTATTTCAGATAACAAAACTATCTTCAGTATGATCGATGAACTAGAGAACTTGTTTGAAAACGATGAACACAAGAAAATGACGAACGACAATAAACCCCAACTTCGACGTGGAAACTCTCGCCTACTAATGCAAGATTCCGATGATCGAGTAATGCTGTGTCCTTTCATCGGCTATGCTAAAGAACCAATACTTCCGCTTGCTGATGCATGCATGCCATTAATATTTATTATTCCCGATATACTCATCTATGTTTCAATGGCCCTAGCATGCACTCCAGATAATCCACCCGATGAGCTGACTCGCGATGAATCAGCTTCAATTCATCTTTACACAATGGAGTGGAGTAATACAAGCAGAAGTCTTTATTCCCATCTTAACCATACACTTAAGCGAGGTGATCCAGAGGAATTACAACCATGGTTCAAATATCTTAAACTTTTTCTTACGGCCTTGGTTAAAATACCATGTTCAACAGCACAGATTGCATGGCGTGGTGTACGAAAAAATGTTACTAGTGAATTTCCGAAAGGAGCTCAAATTACATGGTGGGCTTTCGCATCTACCACAAAATCGCTAGCCGTGTTAGAGAATGATCTCTATTTGGGCACAACTGGAGAGAGGAGTCTATTTTCCATTGAAGTATTAAATGGCAGGAATATACGTGCTCATTCATATTTTCAGGACGAGGAAGAAATTTTACTGTTGCCAGGAACATTCATGGAAGTACAATCACTATTAAATCCAGCACCTGATCTGCATATCATTCATTTAAAACAAATGATACCGAAAGAATCACTAGTGGAACCTCCATTCGAAGGTAAATTGAACATTGTCAACAGTTTATTTTGAATTGAAATATTTCTGTTTTCAGATGCGCAGCTTTATCCAAAAATCGAGTAAGTTTCATCTTGCTTCATCTAACAGGATATCACTGGGTTCATATGAAAACTATGCTCTACTTTTTATCATACTACTTTTAGAAACTATAAGAGACCATATGCATCTTAATGGAAAACTAAAATTGAAAATCAAGACTCATAGTCAATATCGTAAAACATTTTCAGAAGGCTATTTGATGACTTTTCTCTGGCTCGCTGAGTTCCAAAAGATTCTCTGACAGTCTCAAGGGCCTGAATTTTTTTCATGAAAAATGAATTATACTGTTTTGATATTGAATATTATCTCTGATACTGATGCACCTTTTATGAAAAAAATTTTAAAGCTACTCATGTTACAAGAATAAAATCCGTACAAAAGGAATGAAGTGTCAATCATGAAAAACGAGAAGAAAACTCATTTTCTTTGCTGCAACTGAACTACTTTTGTCGCATTCTTTAAATTTATCAAGTCTTTTCAAGTTCATAGGTGAAAGAATCGTGATGATTTGTCTTGAATACTAGGTGTTCTATATGTAAACGCTTGAATAACCGAGTAGTTTGATGAATTGTCGTTATCATACGAACTAAAACACATGTTGAAAATCACAATACAATGCAAAAAAATAAACATATTCATGCTTATTATGAAGAAACTATTAGCAATCTGAGAATCGAATTGATATCACTACGTAGCTTTCGAAACATGATTTCGAGAAATATTGGCTACTGATCTACACCATATACACTAATGTAGGATTTTTTTTATAGTACCAACGGGTATTTTGCGAATAGCTTTTGATCACTTTGAGCTATCGA